TGCGTCAGAAATAATGACAGCTCCTGTCGTAGTCGCATCCACGTCAGGGGATTGGAGGTTACTCCTGTGGGTCTCGAGAGTGAGCATACACTCAAGACCCGTTTCCACACTTCCGTTTGCTTACGATAGACTTCTTGCGGCTACCGCACATCAGCTCGGAGCACGTGGAGCGAAAGCTCGCGCTGCAGAACCCAGGATCCTGGGTCCAATCCCAACCCCTGCCCGTTTCGAGCTGGATGAGCATCGTACCGGCGTGTGGTCGTGTATCACTACTGCGTGGTGCACGTTAAAGAGCCCACGCTAGAGGTTGTACCGCACTGGCTAAATTGCTCATCATACAGCTGAGACACCAGACGCCCACTGAGGCAGACTAAAGGCTGGTTCACACTGCCCCATTTTTTTACGTTAAGTTACGTTACGAAATATTACGTTGAAGTCACCGGGACCTATGTGCTTCATATTAAGCGAGGCTACTAGTTCAAGGAGAAAGCATGACACGCGACATTCGAGGCACGAATGTTTCGGTGACTTACACGTAACGTAACTTAACGTCAGAAAATAGGGCAGTGTGATTGAGCCTTAACTGCTATACACACGACAATCTGCTTTTGCAAAGAGTCCGAAAGCAATGGCGTAGAAAATTAAGCAGTATGGAAAAGAGCCACAAAAAAACTCCACAAACACCCGGCATATGGGCGGAGAGGAGGGTTTGGCAATACATAGTTCAGGTTTGCGGCGAGTATACACGGTTGTCAGTTTTGTTTCCTAATGGATGGATGAATGGATGCTAACGGCTGTGCCCTTTTCAACGGGCAGTAGCTCGCACCACGTAGCCTAGAAATTAAGAACCAAAAGTACGATTTCTTATTTCCTTCGCCAATTCGCCTACCCTCTGCAATTTCGTAATTATCACCAGGCGATATGGAATTTCACCAGGATGACTTTTGAGGGGTCGCCCCTCTCCCTCCCTCCCTCCACCCTCCACCCCCGCCCCTGCTTCTTCCCCCCGGCGAAATGAGTCACCAATTTTCCTCCGGTCAAACCTAGCCGGCGTTACCCCGGCTCCGGGACCACTAAGAGACAGGGTGTAGACTTTGGGCCGGAGCCACGCGGGAGGAAGTCCCAATTCTCCTCTGTCCCTGTTCCCAGCTGTGTCAGTTGTACGTCATTCAATTCTCCCTAGATAATTTCCACCCGTCTTCTAATCTCATACGGCGGGTATGACCAATGTCGTTCTCCGATTATCATATCGCAAAAGCCCGATCAATCGGGGTCAAGGCATGGCAGGCCTCCGAGATTCTTGACGCGCAAAGCTGGTCAAGGACAGCTGCATAGCGACAGAAGGCGTCGCTGTGATAAGCATTCTGCGATTAACCAAACGCCCACTACGACTTCTTAAGTTGGTTTCATTTTGCTTTCACTAGCGGAAATAGAAGTAATGTCACTGAATGTTGAGAGTTCAAGAGCGATGACTCCAAGAGTCCGCCGTGCTTTTTACACTAATTTTGCAACTCGTCGTTCGCATTTGATGATAAGTAGCCCGGATGTCAACTTGCGACGTCAAGGCGAGACGGGACGTCACGGAGAGGAACCATAAGAGGGCGCCACCGAAAAAAAAAAAACTTTCAGCCTTTCCACTCCGGTGAAGAAGGGAGACCAGCGAAGCTGTAATATATGGTGGAAATGAAGTAATGGCCGGCCGCAAGTCGGCAAGCCAGAGTGGAAAGACTGGACAGCTACCGCCATCTGTGAGCGACTGTGGCAAGCGGACGACCGGCAAACACAACACTCTGGACAGCTTCCGCCATCTATGAGCGCCGACAGCAACCAGAGTTTTGTGTCGACATTTCTTTGCGGGGGACACGATCCTGGGAAAACTAGCCCTTAACAGCTCCGCTGTAAAAAGTGCGCCGAGATCACTCGAACAGAGTGAAAAGACGAGACCAGCGAAATCATGGCGAGCAGAGAAGCTTCCTGGGAGATTTCCGTTTTTCTCAATCATATCAGCTTTTCGCGGGCACGACGAGAGAGCGCCGAGACGGTCGGACTCTTCGATCTCCCCTCCCCTTACCTGCAGCCAAATACGACATCACCCGAGGTCGATGAAATAACGAGATTGGACCAGCGGCGGCGACTGAAGGAGAAGCCCGGCAAATCGCTTCCGAGACGAGGAAAAAGATCAAAGAGGTAAACGCTTCGGAGGCCAAGGACGGGAGGGAACGTCCGAAGACAAAGAAGCAGACGGACAGGAAAACGATTACCGAGGACCAACAACACAAACGAGAAGACAGCAGTCGGCGAACCAACGACGAACGCCCGGAGGCTGCTTTTTCTTTGTTGCACTCAGAACGAACCTTCTCCGTGACGTTTCTTTGTTGTTGTATTTTGCTTCCTGATGATGAAAACAAAGATTGCGCATGATTGCGTTTTGTGGGTTCGGTGGATCATTTTGTCGCCTGCGATTCATGGTTTTACGCGTGAAGCTGCAGAAACTTTGCCCGGCTGACGCTACGCAGGTTTTTGTATATTCCGGATCTGTGCCAAGAAGCTTGTGCCAAACCCCGTCTAGCACGCCGCTATCTTTTTTTTACACGTCGAATCAACCTTTCACCCGACAAGACCGTTCTTTTGTGGCTGTGGCGTACAGAAGTGTTGTGCAAGCAAAATGAAACGCAGAAACGCAAGCAAAAAGGAACAGATGGAACGTATATGCCTGTTAGCAGCTGGAGCACTGTATATATAGATGCTTTAAACACGCGCCAGATTGAGCCGCCATAGCCGACCTTCTCTTGTTTTACCGAGATGCCGAGCCACTGATGCGCGTGTTTATGAGCCTCCACAAAGGTGTATGCTGGGGAGAAGGACGCAGTAGCACCTAAAGTGGCGATAACCTGTCCTATTGTGGTAAGGATGAAGTGAAGCGAACGTAATAAGAGGAAACAAATACTGAAGGTCGGTTATGGCGGCGCCCATGCACAGCTGCCTGAAAGCTTCTATATGTACTCTGTGGTTATGTTCCGAATCTTACCCGAGTAACATGTCTGCTACGTCTGCGGGTATAATACCACGTGACATCGCGCGACTCGATTTTGAAACGGCCGAGATAATTATCCGGCCGGATATTACGCGGATGGGCTTCGTTTTGGGCTACGGCAAAAAGAAAACAGCAGCGATGGCGCAAAAATAGCAGACGATATCGTTTCATCACGGAGAAAGCACTCGAAGAAACGATAATATTAACCACTTGGAAGTTTTCATTTGACAGCGACGACGCGGTGTTTTCTGAGGTCGCTCCACCAGTTCCTTTCGCCCACCTCCATTTGGGCTGTATACGTTGAGATCAATGTTTTTTCTCCTTACAGTTAGACATCCAATTTTTTTAAATTATTTTTATTAATAAGCGCGATCGCTGTAAGTCTAGTCCACGTGCCCCAAACACATACTTTCCACGCATCATATGCATTTGCACCGATTACGTTTTGGGGAAATTGATTGCACACGGTGTAGCCGTGCAGCGCAGAGGGGCCTTTCTCAACAGTGACACGAAACTTACGTTCGCTTTGACGCGAATGTGATTACAAACTCAGAGAGAACTTCCAACCCGATATAGGCAATTTCTTGGAGAGGGAGATGGGATGGGGTTGTTGACTGATCCTATACATGAGACCTTCGAAGCCTTCACTGCTTTCCAAACGTCATCCTCTCATTACACACACTCTGGGGAAATCGCAATAACCACACATAAATGGCTGCGCCTCCTTCATGGTCATTTCGAAAGGTCTGCCAAAAAAAGCCGACGGAGCAAACGAGCTTTGACGGCGCAGAAAGCAGACAACGAACAGATCACGTGACGTATTTACTCGATTGGATCCGACCTTAACCCCCCGATCGAGGAGGGTGAGTAATTACTCCGGAGGAAACAACCCGCTTCTGGAACGCGAGTTGTGACGTCATCGAGTAAGCGCCGCGAGTAAGTTTTGAAACGGCACGGCGGCCACGGTACGAAAACTTTACTCCGGAGTCGGATCGAGTGACTTCTGTATCTATCCCCACTGCACTAAAAGGCAACTTCCAAACCAGTGTTTAGTCTAGTGCGGTACGCACATGCATGTCCACGGCAGGAAGTGAGCGATGCGTGCGTAAGTGGGTTTAGGGGCACATGATCTCTATATTTTGTACGTTTGCCAGGCTGGTTCAGTTGTGACAGATGTATACTCCATTTCACTTTTGCTTTTTGTACTTTCAAGTACAGTTTATACCAGAGTCTTTGCCTCGTTTATCATCCATTAGAGTGGTCAAAAAGAATGTAGGTTGTACGTTCTCGCACAGATCTTCGGTATCGTTCGTTGTCATTCTCTTATTTAGTGATCCGTACCGTTCATATTTATTTGCTTATAGTAAAATGATGTATAGACAGTGTTCTGTCGTGTGCCACATACGAGCAAGTTTGTTTTCTTGGGCCAGCACGTTTATACGTGTTTATAACTAAAATAAAAACGTGCGCTAACGCGACGTCATAATTTCTGCCACTTCGAGACCTGTGTCTGTATACACCGAGCGGTAAAGGACGATAAACACACCGTCCCTCGGCGACTTGCCGCGGCGTATAGTCAAACACCGCGTGATCTGGGTCCGCGATCTCTGGGGGAATGAGGCAGGCAGCAACGCACCACGCCTTGGCCGCCCGGTATTTGTGTTTTTCGTTAGACATAGTTCTCCGAAAGCAAGGAGAGCAACATGAAGTCGCAGTCAGGTTGCTCACACCGTATACAAAAGCAGACACAGTGTTCGATGCAGACCCCATGACAAGCGCGAACAAGGCATGTTTTGCCTCGTACATCTTCGAACATGTCTGCGGACGGTTCTTGTACGACCAATCTGACCCTCGTATACGAGGAAGACACACGATCTGTCGTGTTAGCAGTGTACCAGCGACGCCACAGACGCCACACCATCAATCACTCGACCCATCAATCGATCAACGGAGTCATGACACGCACCTCTGACAGGAAACGGCTTGAGGTTGTCGCTGAGCTTCCGTCGCACCACGGGGCCCGTCACCGAGGTCCTGAGCGGCCTCGGCCCCGCCGACGACGACGTCGTCACGGCGACACCCGATCGGCGACCGCTCGACTTGGCAGCGGAAGACCGCATGTCCTCGGAGAACCCTGACCGTCAAAGGCCGACGCCGAACTAATCTCCGCCTGGCCGTCACTCGTAATCGCGGGCCTACTCACACGCACCACGGGATCCTGGACTGAAGCAAGTGGAGCGGCGAAGGCACCCCCACCCTCCTACACGCGATACGGATAGAGAGAAAAACTCGCGCAAGCGTCGCAGATTCTGGGCTCGTGCCGCTGGGACGTGCTCGGCGGGTTCACGTCATCGAACGGGAGCGATGGATGGCACGAACTCACGCCCGCTCTCGCCAGATCGCGACCAAGCCTCCCGTGGGAAGGGGAGGAAGCGGCGTACCACGAGATCACCACTCATCAATTGGCATCCCGAGAAAAGCTCCCGAGCTAGGAGAGCTGGCTGTGTCGCAATTCTGCGCAACGGAGTGGTATTTTCTCGATAGCAGCGGGGATTTTCCGGCGCCGGGGTGGTTCTTGCCGTTCCGTTCCTCGTTGAAAAGAACGGCCCCCCGTCTTTATTTTTCGATCAAACCCCGTGCTTGGTGAAGAGTTCGATTAAACTGTGTTCGAAGGAAGGGTGTTCGACGGAACGATGTTCGGTGAAACGCAGTCGGGTAAAACGATGCTCGATGTAAAACGGGGTTCGATGAAATATTTCGACCAGGAAGGAAGCTACGCGGATGACAACTAGAAAAAGCTCCGCCTCCGAGCTCGATCGTTGTCATTCATCGGACTTTGGGGGAGCGTACGACCAAGTGTTATCAAAGGCGGGAAGCTTGCGCTGGAAACATCTTTTGCTCCTGGCTGAATATGTCGCCAACTATAGTTTATTCGATCAACTATATTCAGTCCCGTACCAGCCCAGAAATCCCGCATTTTTGTTGTTGTTCGCTTCCATTTGCACTTCGGTAGACATCTTCTCTAAACCGAGTAACTAGTTTTGATTTATAGTGGTCTACGAGCAAGCACTCGACACGAACGTAATGCCTCCTGATTTTCCGTTTGAAATCTTCAGACGGACCTCACTTCAAGCAAAATGGAACTCTTGCGAACATTTTCCACGCACAGCGCGAATCTGTTCGTACAAGATCCGGTTGTGGGAGGATGGAGCGATGCTTTTGGCGTTTGAAGCGTGTACATCTTGATGAGATAACACGTATCTCATCCAAAATGCACCTACGTATAATCTTACTTCTTTACATAAAGTAGGAAGTTAGCAGGGCACCGCGACGAGCCAGACTTATTTTCACTATACGGTTCTTGACGTGAAAACAAGTATATATGTTCGCGGACGCGATCATTTGGTACAGGGGAAACCGAAATGAGAACACTCGTTCCGCCAACAAGTTACGCTTAAAATAAAAATAAAATATGTGAACTCAATTTGTCGAGTATTTTCTACTGTAAACACCACAACAGATTGGGAAGTCAGCTTCATTTTGCACGTCTTACCTCTAACGCTTTTATTTTTGTGCCAATTTGAACGTGCCCCCAGCACCCCACCCTTAAATTCCAACTAAAACAATAACCAAAAAAAAAAAAAAAAATCTTTTAGCTTTTTTTATTTTGGTGAAGACGATTAGCGAAGCTGTCTATGGTGGGAATAAAGTAATGGCCGGCCGCAAATCGGTAAGCCAGACAGAGTGGAAAGACTGGACAGCTACCGCCATCCATGAGCGACGGCAACAACTAGACAACCGGCAATCCGGTTGTCTGGTTGCCACCGTCGGCGGTAGCTGTCCAGAGTTTCGTGTCATCATTTGTTTTCTGACGGACATGATACAGCGAAAACTAACCCCTAACAGCTTCGCTGTAAAAAAAAAATTGCCGCGCTAAAAAAAGAAAAAAAAAGAGTAATAAGTTTTGCGTTGGTCATTGCGCGTTTTGTTGTTGTCAACATTTTTGTTGTCAACATTTTTGTTGTCAAAGATAAACAAAACGAAAACGAACTGAGTTTAAAACGTCTGAATGAAGCAGCAAATACATAATTCTAAGTGCCCTATTCATCGGATAAAGGCCGAAATTAACAACGCCTCGCGAGCAGGGCAACTTCTGACTTTAGAATTGCGATCGATGAAGCCGATTTTCGTTCCCAAACGTCGCCTGCCAACCCAGGTATACATTGTGAGAACAGTGAAGTGTCATTTGTACCATACGAAAGCGTAACAGCTGAACAGGTTAGTCTTTCGAAACCTGAGGCAGAAGGAGAAACGCGCTTTTCATCGAGTCGCAAACGATACTGCCCAAGTCGAGCCGCGCACGGCGATTGCGGGACGACGTGGGAGATTGATTACGACGATGGAGGGGAAGTTCTTTCGGCAGAGGCACAGGGTGTACGCATACTGCCGTATATCCGAACTGTAATGATCATTCGAAAATACGCGTTAACACGGACAAAAGTACAACTTTTGAGGGTTTTTTGCTAATCTTCAACTGTTTCAGGCCTAATACGTTCAAATGGGCAGCTTTACCACAAAACTGACCATTCCTCTAAATTAGGCTAAAAAAGAAAAAAAGTGTGTGTGTGAATGTTTATACAACTTATTCAGCCTTAACGGGCGATTTGTCTCTCAGTTGTATAGATGAGCAATTTAGCCAGTGCAGTACAACCGCAAGCTTGGCATAATTGAACCCAAGATCCCTGGGTTCAATTATGCCACATTTCTTCGTCCAGTCTCTATGACAACGTGACCATAAATAAAGGGAATATATTTGCAGCTGCTAGTGTACCGTACTCCCCAATAACACCTCAAATTCGATTATAGTGTTTTAGTATATTTTGTATGCGCGTTTATTTATTCTTTATCCGCATATATTTGTGTGTTTGTCTCGTCTAATACCCCTTGCGGATCCCCCAGGAAAGTAAATAAGGACGATGATGATGAAACTGGCCAGAGTCTTTTGATGGTTGCGCAGTCCGTTCCAGGAAGTATTTGAAGGGCTCGATGAGCGGTCAACACCGGCCTCTCACCTAATAGGAGCGGCCGAAAACGAGGAACTAAAAGCGTAGGAGGCGTCGCGTGAGTGCAGGCAATTGTAGCTTTCAACATGGCGGACGGATGGATGGATGAATGGAGCTGAACCTTTTTAATCGGGCAGGCGGCTTGCGCCACCTATGGTCAAAGTTTAGAGAGAAAAAAAACAAACAGAGGATAAGCCGTTTAGCTTTTGGTCGGCCCCGCATGGCAGAAGTCTTCTTGGAAAGGGTCAGCACTTGGAAGTCCACTGATTTGACAACGATGGCAATAATCGTGTTATTGAAAGGAATTTCGAATCCTCTTTCGGATATGTGGGCGCGGGCAACACGATTTCTCTGAAAGCGCGCTCCTCGGAATAAAGACATCGTGACAGAGATACCTACAGACACACCTCGAGCATGTTGGAATCGTGCCATAAAGGTCTTCCGTCGGCATTTCTTACACCACAGATGTATGCACGTAAAGGCTGTAGGTTCACACATCTGCGTTGGTTGCGCTTGCAAACAGGCTAAAAGACCGCAACGACAAAGTCAGCGGGAAGAAGCGTTCGCCGCACACAACACGGCAAGCGATGCAATCCACGAGTCACGGTTGTTGCTGTGTTTTGGTCGTTGCGGTTGCATGCGAATGCAACCGGCGCAAAATCTGAAAACCAGCCAGCCTCTGTTTGCAAAGTCGCGAGCGCTGTACGTGCAAATTTTGGGTTTCCTAGGTATAGCAAGGCTGTTCGTAATTCCCCGAGCAATACAATGCAGCTTTTCTCCAGTGGGCCCTTGGCCTTGACCCCTGGCCTTGCTTCGGGCCGTTTCGTGCGGGCACCGTGGTCAGCATGCCTATCTTCTTCGCGCGTATTTCGTCTCCTTCGACGATTCCTCTTTGAGCGTCGCGGGGCATCAAAATCACCGAAAACCGACACAACGGCACGAATGCGTTCTAACGAGCGGGGCCACGGTGGCCCGCCCTTTATTTGCAGTTCGCAGACAACTCCCCTGCAAACGATACAAGAAAGGAAAGAAGAGAAAAAAGGTTCATTTGGGCCGTTTGCTCCAGGCAGCAAATGGCAAAGCCAGACGTCCTTCCATTTTTCACTCTTTCTCTCATTTCCCGCGGCGTAATTATTACGCGCTAATGATACGCCACCGATCAGCCAGCGCGCGTCCTTGCAGCAGCTCCCTCGAAAACGGTCTCCATTCCCTCGCAGAGTGGAGCCCCAATTGCGTCCCTACAGAAAAGAATTCGCCGATATATGGACGGCCATTGTACCGGCGGCAATTCGTATAATCACACACTGGGTGACGCAGGTTTACACACGAGGAACACCCGTTTCTAACATATTCATCGAAACCGAAGTCAATTAATGCGCTATTAATGCGTGAAATGCAATAAATTATCGTCTCAATTTGATTAGAAGATTGTACACAGTCTTGTATAGTATACGTCACGTGGCGCCAATATGTATATATAATTAGAGGTCACGTGACTTCAATTTTTCGCTAAATTTGACGTGACAAATTTTTTTCCCAAATTTAGCGGGGGCAACTGAATTAGTCTGTAGGTCCCGTGACGTCAGGTTGCGTGACATTTAATTTCCCGCTAAATTTAGCGGGGAAACTGAATTCGTATCTAGGTCACGTGACATCGCTTGACCCGCTAAATTTAGCGGGAAATGCGCGGACGAAAAAAAAAAATCTTAAATTGGGAGGTAGCCTTAAAAAGCGTTAAAAAGATCGGTTCAGAAGAGCTTCCAGCACGAAGGCGTTCAAACGTTCGCCAAAAGATACCGAATCCTCCTACTCTACGCGGGGTCGAAATCTATGCGAAGGAAATCGTCTTCTCTTATCAACCGAACTCACCATGAATAAGAGTTATCTAAAAAGCGCGAAGGGGAACCGCAGTAGAGATTTCCGCATGACGCGAGTTCATAATCAGATGGGAAAGCGAACACCTCGTGGAGCAATCGTATTTATCGCGACAGCGGTTTACTTAGCCAAGATTTAGCGGCAGTAAAACGAGAAGAAAGCTTCCAGCCTTTCCACTCTGGCGAAGGAAGAAGACCTGCGAAGCTGTATACTACGGTGGGAATGAGGTAATGGCCGGCCGCAAGTCGGCAAGCCGGAGTAAAAAAGCTGGAAAGGTTGCGCCATCTGTGAGCGACGGCGGCAACTTAAGCGGCGAGCCGGTTGTCTGGTTGCCGCTGTCGCTCGTAGATGGCGGTAGCTGCCCAGAGTTCCGTGTCAACTGGGCAAACTAGCCCTTAACAGCTCCGCTGTAAAAAGAAAGCAGAACATACCAAAGAAAGCTTAGCCGATAACGAGGAATATGCCGCGACCCTACATGCGGAGGCTTTATTCGACTTCTTCCAACTTTCAACCAACTTCGACCAAC